AGAAAACTGCCCTAGAAAGGCACCAAGACTATGGGACTTACTGATGAGGAAATGCATCCCTCCATACCTTGCTGAGTTCAGAATGGGAGATTTGCAAAGCAACATCCCACAACAACTACATGGGTTTCTTTGGCAGGGACTTGTTCACTTAAAAAGGACTTTATGAAGCTGGGCACTGATGGTTCATCCCTATAATCCTAGCTACCCAGAAGGTAGAGATAAGGAGGATTGTGGTTTAAAGCTACCCCAGGGAAATAGTTCATGAGACCCTATCTCGAAAAGACCCATCACAAAAAAGGGCTGGTGGAGCGGCTCAAGGTGAAGGCCCTAAGTTCACGCCCCAGTATCACCACCAAAAAAAAAAAGGCAGGACTACCTGACCTGAGCCCCACAGCCCAGACTGCTCTTGTCCTATTGCTCTATGCCAAGCCTGTGCTGGCATGTGCCTTCCAACGAGGGCTTGTCCTGTGGCCATTTCCTATTCTAGTTCTCTCTCCCCAGGCAACCTCCCCAGGGGGATGGGGAACAAACCTTCATGTTTTTTGCATTTGTGCCAGGTATACTTGTGGGCAGTGATCAGCAGGACAAGAAGACAGACTGATCTCTAGCTCAGAGAACCTGATCTATTGATGAGGCCACCTCCCCCAAGAAACACTCAGAGAAATCCCTACCAATCCAGAGCACTCCACAGAGGGTGGCAGAATCTGTTTCTGGGATCAGTCGAGCTCCTGGTAGCAGACAAGCATGATCAGGGTCTGCCAGGAATGTGACTGATGCTTTCTGCTCCAGGAAAGAGTAGTGGAAGAAAAGGCAGGGCAATGCCACCCCCAGACTCACGCCCCGTGACTCCAGCAGAGCAGGAAATAAAATCCCTAGACCCAGTCTTCTGGCTTCCTGTAGGAACAGGAAGCCTGAGTTCATTCCTTACCCTATTCATTTGTCATTTCCTACCCTGAGATAATTAATAGACAGTTAGAAAAATTATACAAGCTCCAATTAGATAAACTGCCTGATAAACAATTACTAGAATCAGGAATTCTTGTATGAACCTGTAGATTTTTCAAGAGTCTTTCCTTTGTTGGCAGTTCTTGGGAACCTCTCTCTTTTCCTCCCTCTTGTAGCTAAGCTGCACACCCTCTGCCAGCTGAACCCTCAACATCCTGGCACCATGCAGAGCCCTAGGGACCAGAACTCCCAGAGCATAACCAGCTTTGCAACCTTCACCCCTTCAGACAGACAGACAGACAGACACACACACACACACCCCTTCAGAGACAACACTCCTTCAGACAGACTGACAGACAGACACATACACACACAAGCACCAGGAAGGTTAGGGCTGGTGGAGTGGCTCAAGTGGTAAGAGTACCTACCTAGCAAGCATGAGGCCCCGAGTTCAAACCCCAGTGCAGCCAAAAAAAAAGGGGCACCAGGCACTTATGCATCTATTTTAAAGTATCAGTTTTAGCTACAACCTCATGTGGTTCCCTGAACCTCTTATCCACACAGCTGAATTTCCCAAATACCCCTCTTGGCATCCTCCAAAGCCCATGTCACATCTCTACAGCTGTCACTGACCATCCCAGACATTTTTATGGCACTTGCCTCAATACTTGCTCCCCTTAGTGTGGCCTGCAGGCCAGAAGCACCAACATCACTTGGGTGTTTGACAGAAATGCAGACCCTCAGGCTGCATCCAGACCTACCAGATCAGAATCTACATTATAACAAGAGCCTAGGTGATTTGCATGGACATTAAAGTTTGAGAAGCACTGGCTTCTACCTTTCCCTGGCTGACCTATGGATTCTCTTCACTTTTCTACATTGTGGTTAAGGACAAACATGACTAGAATGGGATGTAGCGATCACCCCTTTCAGTCACTCACTTCACAGTCAGAAGCTACCTTAGAAGCAGGAGCAGCACCAACTTCTCTTTTACAGTTCTGTCCCAGGGTACTGGGAGAAGCTCTTTGTAGTTTAAACTGACAGGACTATGCTAAGTAAACCTCAGGGTACAATCTCATTGATACTGCGGGTAAGACTATTGTGAGTATCAAGGGTTTGTCTCCAAGCTGTATCCTCTTGTCACACCTGTGCCTCTTCCCAGTTCCCCTCCAAAAACACTAAAAGCCCACACATTGAGCCTGAGGAACCAAATCCAAGCTGCTTTTTTTTTCGGGGGGGGGGGGCGGGGTGGTGCAGGTGCAGGGGTCTGAACTCAGGGTCTCATGCTTGCTTAGCAGGCGCTCTACCACTTGAGCTACTCTACCAGCCCTTTTCTGGGTTGGATATTTTTTGAGATAGGGTCTTAAGAACTATTTAACCAGGCTGGCCTTGAACTGGGATCCTCCTGATCTCTGCCTCTGAAATAGCTAAGATTACAGGCATAAGCCACCGGTACTCAGGCAAACTAAAGCTTTCACTGAGTTTTGAATCATAGCTAACTGAACTGGAATGATCCCAAGTGAGACAGTTCACTGCTAGGCACTCTTGGCTTTTCATTTCCTTTTCCCTTTCCTTTCCTTCCTTCCTTTCATTTTTTTTGTTTTGTTTTTTTGAGACAGGATCTCATTATGTAGCCCAGGCTGGCCTTGAACTCATTACCCTCCATCTTTAGCCTTTCAAATTCCTGGGATTACAGGTATGTACCATCATGTTTCCTAGCTTTTTACTAACTATTAGGAGTAACAAATCTCTGGACACCAAGCTCTCATTCAGTACCAGCATGGTCCTATTTACTGCCTAGCATAGTAAGTATGTGAGAACCAAATTTTCTACACAACCTACCCATTCACTTAAAATCTGACAACGACAGCAGGCCAGGCCTGAGGTTTCCAGAAGGCTAACCGCTCTGTGGAAGCACCAGGAAATCTGTAGTGGCTCCTTCACTCTTAAGCCAACAGGTCAGTCACCACCTGCCTCATTGCCACCTACTCCTTTCATAAGACCTCATGCCTGTGAGGCCTAAAGAGGAAGGTTCTCTCCCTAACTTATACCATATTTGAGATGCATGGCCTTGGGGATCCCCAAGTCCTCAACTAACCCCACAATCACATCTAGAAGCTGACAGTGAGGGTGATAAAGCACAGCACCTTGAGCTCTGGAGGCAAAGTGTATGAGGCTACTGGGTGACTCCTGAAGGGAACATTGTTCTGGGCCAGCTGGTGGAGTAAAAGAAGGTCAAGCCAAAACCCTGGGAGGAAATCTGGACCACAAAAGAAAACTGCACCAGCCAGGCACTGGTGGCTCACACCTGTAATCCTAGCTAGTTGGGAGGCAGAGATCAGAAGGATAACAGTTCAAAGCCAGCCCCAGGCAAATAGTTCACAAGACCCCATCTCAAAACACTCAACACACAAAAAAAGAGCTGGTAAAGTGCCACTCAAGTGGCAGAGCTCCTGCCTACCAACTGTGAGCCCCTGAGTTCAAACCCCATTATTGAAGAAAAAAAAAAAAGAGAGAGACCACTGTTTCTAGAGTTCCTTCCCCTCTGTGTAGGTTGCACAGGACACATAGACTGTAACAGCAACTTGGCAGGCCCAGGCATGAGGGATGCGCTCTGTGAGAAGGACTTTGGGGGAGGGGCCCTCACTGCCTTGGCAGAGTCCTTGTCATCCTGCAAAACTCAGCTCACCTCTCATGCAGAACCATCATACAATCTTTTCCTCACAGCCTCCCCAAGCATACCATTATGCTCTGGTTTACAACTCTTGTTGTTCCCTGCAGTCAGTATCCTTCCAAAAGATTGACCAGTAATGACTCTCTGCACCTTCCTTTGACAACCAGCAGGGCTGAAACCTGACAGATCTTTGCAGATACAAGAACTATTAGTAGATTCAAAGACACAACTGATGGCCTGCTGGTTGAACAAGACCTGAAGGTCAGTGTAGGATGGCACACAAGGTGTTGCTTAAATATATGAACTAGATTCCAACACCTTAAAGTCACATCTAACTTCTCTTTCAAAAACTGGAAGATGTAGCTACACGGAGTCCACATTATTGACTGGCAAAGACAGATAAGAGATGAGAAGGAACTGCTCCCTGAGATGGGGCATATTCACTCTAGATTGTTCGAGGACAGAGACAGAGGAATCCCTGCCCCACATTCTTTCACCCCATCCCTGAGCTCACTACAGTTTTTGTGCCTGATCACAGATTCCCATTGCCAGAGCCAGCATCTCTCTTCCTCTCTGCCTGAGGACTTTCTCCAGCACTAGTTGGCATTCAGGGTAGCCAAAAAGCACCCAGAGATTTAACACTCCGAACGAAATTCTCAACCCATGAGGTACAGAGTTACTGCATTAAAAACAAAACAAAACAAAACAACCCAGGTGCTGGTGGTTCATGCCTGTAATTCTAGCTACTCAGGAGGCAGAGATCAAGAGTATCAAGGTTCAAAGCCAGCTCTGGGCAAATAGTTTGCAAGACCCTATCTCAAAAAAATCCATCACAAAAAAGGACTGGTAGAGTGGCTCAAGTGGTAAGAGAGCCTGCCTAACAAGGGTGAGGCTCTGAGTTCAAACCGAGTACTGCCAAAAATAAAATAAACTTAAAAAAAAAAAAAAAAAGACCAACAAAAAAACCCCAGCCCATTTCCCAACACTTCAGTGATACAATTCTGTGGCACATACCACATGATTATTCACAAGGTCCCCAGTGGGACTGAGTTCCAATAGCCCACTATAGCAGTCCCATTTTTTAATGTACGTACTTATTGGCTTTCTCTCTGTCCTGCCTTACTTTCCCCATCCCTTCACTTAAGACTTCTACAATCACCTCCCACAGCAATTATCTGCTCCAAGTCCTTACCTCAGGGCTCACTTTCAGGGGAACCCAAACTAAGACACTCTGTTAGTCTCACTTTGTCATTTTTACATTACCTGGCTGGTTCTAACCAGCATGGCTCTTACAGCATATCCCTCTTACTAAGAACATCAAATTATATCAGCACTCAGAGGTCTCCCCAACATCCCTAGAACAAGAGCAAGACAGACTCACCTCCCCCAAGTAACTGTACTTGCCCCTGAGGATCTGCCGGTATAGCCGAGTTCGGTTGTCATCTTCAAAAGGCATGGTGCCACTGAGCAGGATGTAGGCAATGACACCCAGCGCCCACATGTCCACAGAGTTGGTGTAGGGCTTGCGGACCAAGACCTCAGGAGCAATGTACTCCGGTGTACCACAGGTGGTCTTCATCAGGCAGTCATCACCTTTCTTTCGGGCACTGGCTAGGCCGAAGTCAGTGATGATGATCTTGGAGTCAGTGCCTGGGTGGTAGTAGAGCAGATTCTCAGGCTTGAGGTCTCGGTGTGTGATGCCCAGGGCATGTAGGTACCGAACCCCATCCAGTACCATCTGCAGAACTCTTGTGGCATCCCGCTCAGTGAACGAACCCTTTGCAATAATGCGGTCAAAGAGCTCACCACCAGTGGCCAGCTCCATCACCATGTACACACGCTCCTGTGTCTCAAACACCTCTACCAACTGGATGATATTTGCATGGCGCACCCTGCGCAGAACCCGCAGCTCAGACTCACATACCTCCCGCCCCTCTCGGTACTTGGTCTCAATCATCTTGATGGCATATGGCTGTCGGGTTGCCCGATGCTCCACACGAACTACTCGGCTAAAGCTGCCTCGGCCAATCAGGGCTTTAATGTCATATTTAGCTGTCACACGTGGGTCAAACTTGGCCCTGTACTTAGCCACCCTGGCCCTGCGTGGTGGTATTGAAGGAGGTTCTGTGTGACCAATAGTGGGGGCACCATGGCAGGGGTGTGCATACTGACTGGCAACTGGGAACTCAGCTTTAACAGGGCTAACACTGTCCACCTCTGTGATGAAGTACTTGTACACATCATCCTTCATATCAGTGACGGACTCCACCTTCTTGACCAGATCCAGCTGGACATCCTTAGGTGGCTCAGGAAGGACCTTGCTTGTCCCACAGCCCATCACGGACAAGGGAGCATCTCTCCAGCGAGGCTGGCAGGACCTGCTCAGCAGGCAGTGCCCCGTCTACACCTATGCAAACAGAAGAGAGGACAAATTAGCATAGCTGGGGATATCTCTGAAGGGACACCATCCATCCTCTCTGTCCCTTCCTTCTCAATAAACCTAGTCTGATTAAGACTGACGGCATGATTCTGACATGATTCTCTGGGAGGATGACTTTGGCCCCCAAGAACTCTAGGCTCAGTGGAGCATTTAGATGAAGGCTGGGTCTGAGCTCCATGGCCTTGACTTATGTCTCCCTGGGTCTCAGTTCATTCTTCAAGTTGGGGGCAGGAACATGTACCAGGCTCAGCTGTCACAGCCCTCATCCCCCTCTCTGCTCTGCCAGGGTCCCTTCTCCTAGTTAAAGTCCCTTATATCTTAAATGTTAAACTCACTCCTCTTAATCCTCTGACTCACCTTTTTTTTGATATGGGGGTGTGGAATGTTGGTGACCTCCTCCAGCACCATCACCTGCCAGGGCTCAGAGAGCTGCTTCACTCCAAGGCCTCCTCAGAGAGCTTTCCAAGCCCTCTAGGCCTCCTATAGGGGTTGGTCCCCCCTGCAACAAACTACTACCTGGGTCTCTGCCCTAGATTTACACTTTCCTGGATGGTTTCTACTGCTTTGCTCATGTATAATCTTCTCCCTGACAGTTCCAGGATCTTGTACTTTCCCAGATCACTATGTGGATGAAATCTCATACAAGGCCCAGAGCTGGGTGAAATCCATCACAGTGAACTTGGGACCATAAACCTCAAGACAGTGCCACTAGATACCTGCAAAACTAATCTGGATTTCATCAAGAGGCAAAAGGGTCTTGAACTCAGAGAGAACACCAGCACTTAAATCCAGAGGTGTCTCAGGCTATTGATCAGAGCACCCTGATTCCTTGGGATGTGAATCCAGGAGCCCTCACCAATTTCTTCCCAGAGATATTTGGCCATTAATATCTGGTAGCTGGTGGGCCCTGGATAATGTAAAGTACTAAAGTTACTGCTTTACAGAGGTCACCACCTTTCTATCTATATGATTCCTCTCTAAGTCTACCTGAGGGACCAATGTTTGAAAACTGCTGAGAATTTCCTATTCATTATGACATACAGAATAGGTAATGAAATGATCAATTCAGGTGAAACATTTATTAAATATCTAATAGGTGTCAAGAATATAGGAATGAGTAAGATACAGTCCAAGATAGGTTGTATTTTAATAGAAAAAAAAAAAAGACATAAGTAAACTCAGTCTTTTTTTTTTTTTTTCCAGTACTCAGGGCCTACACGCTGAGTTACTCCACCAGCCCTTTTTTGTGAAGGGTTTTTTCGAGATAGGGTCTCTCGAACTGTTTGCTTTGAACCGTGATCCTCCTGATCTCTGCTTCCTGAGTAGTTAGGATTACAGGTGGGAGCCACCAGCACCCAGATAAACTCACAGTCTTAAGTGAAAAGGAAAATGTACAAACAGGGTCTCACTATGTAGACCAGGGTGGCCTCAAACTTGCCATCATCCTGCCTCAGCCTCCCAAGTGCTAGGATTATGGATTAGGGAGGTTAGGGAAGGCTCTGGAAGGAGGTAACTTCCATGTTGAATCGTGAAGTAAAAATGAATCTTCAAGTGCAAGGCCTTGAGTTCGGTCCCTAGCACCAAAAAAAAAAGAACCTTGAAGCAGAGGTGGAAATGGTGATTCAGATAGAGAAAACAGGCCCACATAGGTAAATTCAGAACATACCTGGGCATGGGCAGTTTAGTTGTACAAAGGCAGGGTTGGGGTTGATGGTTTAGAAGGTCAACAGGAACCAGATTATAGAATGCGGCAGAAGCTCTGGTGAGGAAAGTGAGAACCAGGGCCTTCCTAGAAGGTGATGGAGAACTATCAAAGGGTTTATGAGGAAAGAGAGGCATTCTGATCTGTGTTTAAAAAAAAAATGTGAGGATGGACTAGAAAAAGGTCAAAGTGGACTAAAGGGGACAGTAAAAGTGTGGTGGGGTAGAACTGACTGTTATCAACAGTATAATTAAAAGGGGCTGGACATGATGGGTAGAAGGGAAGAGGAGGGCAGCACTTTAGTTCCACTCTCAACACCTAGGCAAAGAGTACAGCAGGAGGCCCAGTTTGGGAAACAGTGGGAGATTTCAGTTTTGGATACACTGCAGTGTATCCTGGAAGATCCAGGTGACATTTAATGCAGGTCACTGGATATAGAATCTGATGTATGAAAAGAGATTGTCACTACCCACTGCCCATGGGTAGTGCTTGGAGCTGAAAGGTAGTAAATACATCTCCTCACACCCTTGTGAAGCCAGCAACTAATCCCATCAAAGGCAGCAGAGGAAGCCCCAGGCAGGTTTTACCATGGCACTTTGGGGGACACAGAGAACCCACAGAGGCCATTGGATTTCGGTGAGTTGAGAGCTTGAATTCAAGGTAGTGAGGCCAGTCCTGATTAATATGGCCACCTATTTCAAGGACCAAGTTTATCACTAAACATACCCAAGACTGTGATTACAAATCTATTGGATACGGGATGGAAGTGTAGCTTAGTGGTAGAGCGTTTGCCTAGCATGCGCAAAGCCCTGGGTACAAAAGGATCCCCAGTACAAAAAAATAAAGGGGAAAAAAGATACAAACCAAAGGGAGGGGGCAGGGGGAAGGGGGGAGAAATGAGCCAAACATTGTATGCAAATATGAAGATAGTAAAAAAAAAAAGACACAAACCTATCAGATAAAAAGGAAGAATTTAGAGACCACAGACTAAGAGTTCAGATTTTAATCAGTGTATTAGTAAGATTCTCAATAAAATTAAGTTTTTCTTTCCTCATATGAAAGGTAACAATTCATCTACTAATAAAAGCTTGTCAGGATTTGCTGTTCTTACCCAAATGCCCAGGAGGTCCCACGTGGAAACTTAGGACACAGTATTTTTTTGGTTTGGTTTGGTTTTGACAGTACTGGAGTATGAAATCAGGGCCTCACGCTTGCTAGGCAGGCCTTCTACCATTTGAGTCATTCTACCAGTTCAAGACACATTGTTTAAGCAAAGGCCATTTAGAAAGGAGGTTCCTTTTCACAGAGACCAAAGATTAGGGCTAAGAGTGTTCAAGTAGTAAAACGCCTGCCTTGCAAGTGCAAGGTCCTGAGTTCAAACCCCAGTATGGAAAAAAAAAAACAAAACAAAACTATGGACTTTGGAATTTTGCAGACTCATCTTTCTTCAGGAAAACATAAGACCTCAACAAGTAAAGGGTTGGAGCACAGAAAAAGAAAGCTCTTGGGCCAGTGTTCCTGAGACAGAACACAAGCCCTTGACCCCTAGTTCCTAAGACCATTTGTGAAGCAACATCAACCGCTACTGACAGAGAAGACAAATTGTGCATGGATGACCTACCATACCAACTCAGATGTTACTTTCTCCTGGTGAGAAAGAACTCAAGATTCACAAAGAGCTGTCTCCAGGAATACACACTGGTTCTTTTTGTTTAAATGTGCATACCTAGTCTGGTATGGTCCTAATGAGAAAAACTGAGTTCACAAAAGAAAAGGCCTGACTTCTCACTTTAAGTAAACAAAGCTTGTACAAGTCAGCAGTACAGTCACATTTATTCCAATTAGAAATGCTTGGTCCTAGCTACTCAGGAGGCAAAGATCAGGAGGATCACAGTTCAAAGCCAGCCCAGGCAAATAGTTATGCAAGACCCTATGTTGAAAAACTCTTCACAAAAATAGGGCTGGTGGAGTGGCTCAAGGTAAAGGCCCTGAGTTCAATTCCCAGTACTGCAAAAAAAAAAAAAAGAAAGAAAGAAATGCTTCAAATGTGGGCTGTTTCTATTACTCCACCATCCCAACTGTAGGCCAAAAGTAGAGGAGAAAGTGTGCCAGCTTTGAAGGCTGAGGAGACAGAGACAATGCCCTCCAGGTGATCACAGCTCTTCCACACTCCACTCACATCTGTTAACTTCTCTTCCCACATTGATTAGATAAAAATACACATATAGGAACAAGGGTGGTGGTAGAAGCTGGCAAAACTCCTGGGAAGGAGGGCAGAGCCTTTTCTGACTCCCAGCTTTCTTACATATGCTCCCAGCACAGTGATAAGGGTAGGTGTTTGAGTGGGCAGAATGAGTGAGAAAGCTTTAGGAAAAGACCTCCCAGGAAGGTCACCCTATACCAGTTGTAGTGAGTTACCAACACTTGAAGAAAATATTCAATCTTCTAGAGTCTGCTCCACACCTTCAACTCCTAAACTGATGTGAAGCGCTCCTCAGGATGGTAGTGGGAGTAAGCACTCAGCGCTGCTGTCCCTCTGACCCTCTATAGAAAAAACAGGCCAACAGAAGTCGAGAGCCTTGCCCAAAGTCACTTAGACAGGGTGGCAAGCATGGACTCAAGTCTCCTGGCTCCTCATCCAGGGCTCTTTTTGCTACACAGGAAAAGACTCCAGAAATACCTGGGTCTCAGAAAACCTGTCTCATCAGGTCAAGGCCTCAATTCTTCCCTACCCCATGAGCCGGTGAAGCAACACACTTCTACTGAGCATATTTTCTGAAAAGCCTATGTTCAGAAACCTTCATTCCAACTGTGATCTGCCACACTGCTCACAGCACAACTCTTTGACTACTATTGTCAGCCCCCTGCTGAAGGGACCATTTCTTAGGTTTCCAGAACTCCCGTGGTAGCAAAGTACTAGCAAAGTACTGAGCTCAGAAAAGGTATTCACTGCCGGGCACCAGTAGCTCACACATGTAATCCTAGCTACTCAGGAGGCAGAGATCAGGAGAATCACAGTTTGAAGGCAGCCCAGACAAATAGTTCTGCAAGACCCTGTCTCGAAAAAAAACCCAACACAAAAAAGCACTGGTGAAGTGGCTCAAGGTGAAGGCCCTGAGTTCAAGCCCCAGAACTGCAAAAAAAAAAAAAAAAAAAGAAAAGACATTCACTATTTGTCAACAATGAATCAAAATGAAGCAGAACCAAAATGAAGCAGGTAGAAATTTTTCAGTATCTCAGAAATACCTAATTGTTAAACTGTATC